CACATGGCCATTGGAAGGCTCTGTCATGGATTGGCTGGAGGCAGAGGAGCGGTGGGAGGCACCCAAGGGAACCCCCAGAGGAAGAAGGCTCAGAGCCAGGGGATTGTTGGTGGGATGACAATGAATGGTCAGAGGGAGAAGAGTGAGCAGACTGGGAGGAGAAGGTGTCAGAAGCTGAAGGCACAAGAGGGTTTGGTGAGCAGGAAGAGGCTGTGGCAGAGAGCAGTCCAGAATCAGAGGCAGAAGTGGAAGCTGGAGAAAAGGGAGGTGGGGGGCAAGAGACACGGATGTGGCAGGCCGCTGAAGGAGCCAAGGAGTCTCACTCGCCTGCTGCAACCAGCTCCCCTCCCACCAGGTCTCCTAGAACATGCAGAGAAATGAAAAGAGCTGGACAGAGATGGGTTGTGTGCAAACACAGTTTGTGACTATTTGGGAAAGGCCCTGGGGAGGAGGAGCCGAGGAGAGAGTGGTGGGAAGGTGGGGACCTTCATCGCTTGCAACAGTTTAACTGGGGCAAGACCTACTGGGAAGAGTTGCTGGGATCACCAGGCCTGCGCTGTTGTGTTTCTCTGCATAAGGTGTTATTGCGGACTTGTCAAGTTTGTTCTCAAAGGAACAGACCATTCCATAGTGGAACCATGGAATTCGCTCCCATAGGAAGTAGTGAGTGCCGCCATTTTGGATGGCTTTAAAAGAGGTTGAGACAAATGCAAGGAGGGTAAGTATCAATGGCTACCAGCCTGTGTTCTCCCTTCACAGTCAGAGGTAGTATGCCTCAGGCTTCCCATAGTCCTTTGCCTGGTGACTGTGAGAACAGGATGCTGGACAAGATGGGCCACTGATCTGATCTGGCAACCTCTTCTGGTGTTCTTATACCATTTTTCTCTTTAAGAAGGAATACTTTCACCACACAGGTGTTTTTTTATATTCTTTGCATATAACCATATTAGGAGAAGGAATCAATCTAGTCCCAATGTAAGACAGTGCCAGTATCAATATGGATTGTAAATTGAATGCACACAGTTAAGAAGATGGTCCTGCCATAAGAACTAGTCGTCAATACATCTTGAAGAAATACAAGAAATAAACACACACCAGCAGAGATCTCAGAAATATTGAGCTGGGAATATGAGATCTTTAGCTCATAAATCTACGGCATGAGTCAGAGACTAGAAAGCAATGGGAGAAGCAAAACCAGGCAGAACAACTGTTAATTTCAGTCATTTTTTACCTCAAGACTTATCTACGGTGTTACTACCGTTTAGTTGCATTATTGTTGATAGATCCTCCACAGGTACTTTTGTGTGCTTCCCTGCAAACATAGATGCAGGGGAGATATAAAGCAAAAGCAACACGCCGTACAGGAAGAGCAAAACTTTCCATCTCATCAACGGAAGCAGTGCAAGATAAACACACACAGACACACGTGTTTGTAATTGGAAGTGCAGGCCAGGACACAGACCTGGAAAAAAACTAGGCCCCCACCTTGTTCATGGCACAACTTCAAAAGAATTTTTTAATTCCTCTGGTGCTGAATAACGCGAGGGCAACAGACAGAGGTGTAGCCTGCTTTCACTAAAAGGTTTTGAACCAGCTATTGCCAGAAGGGTGGTTTTGACTTCTTATCCAGTTTCCATTCTGCTTGTGTTGTCTGGTGGGATGTTGGCACAAGAGAACTGGCTTCGGGGCTCAAGCAGCGTTCCAAAAAATCTGCTTGCTTAAATACCTGACATGAACTCAACGAAACAGATTTTACAGCATTGGGATATGGCTGGGGGGGAATGGGTCTTACTGCCACTGAACTGCAAACACCGGTGCTCTGAAAACCAGAATTTGCAAATTAGGAGACAAAACATAATTCAGCAGTAGAGCACAGGCTCTGCATACACAAGGTCCCAGGCTCAAATCTGGCATCTCCAGCTAGAGCTGGGAGTGTCCCCTATCTGTAGAGCAACCACCACTGAGAGTAGACCAATGGACCAATGGACCAATGGTCTGATTCAGTGTAAGGCAGTTTTCAATGTCTGGGAATGTATGCTGTGGTCCCCCACTGCCAGCATGAATCTCCTCTTCCCTTGTCAGCTTTATCTCTACCTTAGTAGTCACATCCATGTAGGTATTAACCATGGTAAATGCTAATCAGGTTACCTCTTAACCAGGTTTTAAAAATCCAGTTCAGATCCTGATTTTACATAGAATTACGATTCCCGAAAAAAAAGTGTGCAGTGCAATTATATGCATATCTACTCAAAGAAGCTCCAACTGAATTCAACTGGACTTACTCTGGGTAAATGTGAATAGGGTTGTAACTGCTATGATTAATAAAGAGAAAGTCACTTCTTTTTTCAAATAAGCACGCTCATGTGATGAAATGCCGTTGCACTCAGAAATTGCTTTTGGGCTTCCCATAGGCATTTGGTTGACCACTGGGAGATCATGATGCTGAACTAGATGGGCCATTGGCTAATCCAGTAGGTTCTTCTCACATTCTCAATGACTACATTGGCCCAGGCTGCAATACAACAGGCAAACCATTCAGGAAGCATTCTCCATCAGGCTTCCTGTGCACTTGGAATCGCAGTTTTTAATTGCATTGTCTAACCAACCAACCAACCAACCAACCAACCAACCAACCAACCAACCAGAGCCCTATGTGAATTACAGCCTAGTCTTCCCCAATCTCATTTGCTCAGATGCTGCATTGATATTCACTAATTCAAAATAACAACTTTGCATTTGTCTAAAAACTTGAATACATCCTCATCTGCTTAGTTTGGTTAGTTTTGGCTCATATAATCTGAAGCATATTGCATTCCACTTGCTAAAAAATACCCTGCGATTTTCTGTCATAATCTCTTAAAATGGTCTTAACACTTCGGTCAGTATTATTTATTTATTAAAACAATCTCTGTACTGCTTTTCCTGTAAACATCACAAGGCAATGTACAAAAAACATTAAAAGTATGTTAAAACTTAAAGAATAAACACAATAGCAGCCAACATTAGGCCCAAATACCTGGCCACACCTAGGTTACAGCTCGTGGTTTGTCTGGAGAGAGGTAAACCATGAGCCTGAATTCAGATGATATACTGAGCCAAACCATGGCTTCACTCAGCATAGCACAGCAAGCAAACCACTAAAGAAAAGAAAAACAGCTGCAATCTTCTTTCCAGGAATCTGTATTCATACTAAACCATGGTAATTGCTAATTCATACTAAACCATGGTCTGGCTTAGGGTTACATATGAGCAGGAGAATTATTACAGTCAACTGGCCTATGAAAAATTCATTTTTAGCAGACACCACAGTGCCATCAGTCTAATTCAAAGGGGAGGTGATTCTAAAGAGACCCACTTTGCAAAGAAGTATGCAAGTAGTATCTTAAGTACATACACTAATCTGTTCAGGGAGGCCGAGAGGTGCATCTCAGGGGTGAGGGTTTGTCAATTATGGGCTTTCTCTTCCACTGGGGGCTTACCATTTTCTCTTCCACTGGGGGCTTACCATTTTTACTATGTTTTATTAGGCCAATTAAAACCTCTGTATAGGCAGCTATGTCATGACTGGCGTTGAGCAAGAAGAGTGTTAATTTCAGTTTTTAACAATGTATTACTCACTCCGATCCTTAGGATATTGCAGGAAGCAGGCTCACTATTAGCATTTGGTATGACTCACTTAATTGTCCCCTAGCCTTCGGGGGTTTACTCAGGTTTATTCTTTATATTTAATTCTCATGATACATTTGCCACTGTCCAGTGACTCAGAGAGCAATCCCACACTCCCCCTTTATGCTCCAGATAAAAGTTGCTGAGATAGTTGCCAGGAGAAAGCAAAGAGAGAGGAAGTTTATCGTAGCACAAATAACACTCATTTGGTTCGGCGTTGCAAATCCAAACACAGATCCACAAAGTGAACTTGAAGAACTCCCAAGCTATCTGCATATGGTTATGCATACCATCCATTCACAAGTTAATGTGGTTTCTCTATCCAAGTAAAACATAGCAGAAACTCAGACCCTCCAAGTGTCCCTATTTTCCAGGGACGTGTCTGATTTATAGAAGCCGGGGCAGTTTCTGATTTGATCCTGGAATGTCTCACTTTCCCTTAAAGGTAAAGGGACCCCTGACCATTAGGTCCAGTTGTGACCGACTCTGGGGTTGCGGCGCTCATCTCGCTTTATTGGCCAAGGGAGCCAGCGTACAGCTTCTGGGTCATGTGGCCAGCATGACTAAGACACTTCTGGTGAACAAGAGGAGCACGGAAACGCCATTTACCTTCCTGGCGGAGCAGTACCTATTTATCTACTTGCACTTTGACGTGCTTTTGAACTGCTAGGTTGGCAGGAGCAGGGACCGAACAACAGGAGCTCACCCCGTCATGGGGATTCGAACCGCCGACCTTCTGATCAGCATGTCCTAGGCTCTGTGGTTTAACCCACAGCACCACCCGCGTCCCTTCCACTTTCCCTTAGGCCATCCCTATTTTCATTGAAGAAATGTTGGAGTGTATGGAGTTATCTGACCCCCTGAGCCATCTGAGCAGCCCTGTATAGGAAAGTTTTTTTTAATGTTTATGTTTTATTATGCTTTTTTATATGTTGGAACCTGCCCAGAATGGCAACCCAGTCTGATGGGTGAGGTATAAATAGTTTAAAATTATTATAATAATTATAATTATAATTATTATTAGATAGGTTGTCCCTATTTTCATCAGAAACCTGTTGGAGGGTGTGCATATTTACTATGACCTGATATCAGGAAAGACTTCCAGGAACAGCTATCAAGGGGAGGTGGGCCCTCTGATATCACCCTCACTGCCTCCCAATGAAGGCCTTAACCCAGAAGGGAAAATACATCAGTTTATGAATCACAAGAAGTTAGGCAACATTCCCCCCACCTGTCATACTGAGTGTCCATCAAAGGGGAAGCTTTTCATTATTTGGAATCGTGCTGCTGTTTGCACAGAGTCCAATGCCCTTTCTGAACATCCTGTTACTCACCCAGGTTGGGCTGTGACATTGCCATGGATCTCTGCGATACAGGGGTAGAAGGGGCTGAAGGATGATGGCTCATGTGGTTCAATGGCTGGGTCATGGTCTTTCGAGGATCTTGCCACGTCGTAATCTTCTCTATATGGCTGCAAAACAGAAATGCAGGCATTTTAGGCTGAGAGGAACTGGGGAGATTTCAGTCACAAATATGACCCAGAGCTCCGATTGTCCATCTGTGCATGTCAGCCATTCCCCCTAACTTTTGCTAGGTCTTACAACTGTAATATTTATCAGTATCCAAAAAATTCCCATCATCCCTGAGCGCTGGTCCTGCTACCTTGGGGTGATGGGAGTTGTAGTCCAAAAACAGCTGGAGAGAGACCCAAGTTTGGGAAACCCCAGTTTAAACAATATGCCTTTGTACTCTGATCATTCTTCCCCCACTATCCTTCTCTCGTGTTATCTTCATTTCCCCTAATATTATGTTGGGTTGGTTTGTGTGCCCCCTAATGTAAATGCCTTATGAATAATAATTAAAAAAAATAGAAGTCATTTGAATATGAAAAGAAATACACTCTGACACAACTTTTACAAGTAATTCGAAGCTTGGTTTCACCTTTACCCTACATTTTCAAACTTTGCAGCTCAAGGTCACTTTCACTTTGTACGTCTCACATGCCCTTCCTTCCAGCGACTGACTCACTTCCTCACTTCAAGGTTTCCTTCAATACTAATTCATTCTCCCTTTGTATGACACCATACAATGTTTGCCTTTCCTGTATTCTTTAGCTTCCCAAGCTGCCTCCCCCTTCCCTCTGATTTTGACTCATTTCAGAATAAAGACTTGAATAATATATTGGGCTGAAAGAGAAAATAACCTGTGAGCGATTCTTTCAGTGCAGTCATACCTTGGATCCCGAACGCCTTGCAAGTCGAACGTTTTGGCTCCCGATCACCGCAAACCCGGAAGCGAGTGTTCCGGTTTGCAAACGTTCTTTGGAACTCGAATGTCTGATGCAGCTTCCGATTGGCTGCAGGAGCTTCCTGCAGCCAATCGGCAGCCGTGCCTTCGTTTCCGAACGTTTTGGAAGTTGAATGGACTTCCGGAACAGATTCCATTTGACTTCCAAGGTGCGACTGTATTAGGTAATGGTAAAGGGACCCCTGACCATTAGGTCTAGTCATGGCCGACTCTGGGGTTGTGGTGCTCATCTCGCTTTATTGGCCGAGGGAGCCGGCGTACAGCTTCCGGGTCATGTGGCCAGCATGACTAAGCCGCTTCTGGCAAACCAGAGCAGCGCACGGAAACGCTGTTTACCTTCCTGCCGGAGCAGTACCTATTTATATACTTGCACTTTGACATGCTTTCGAACTGCTAGGTTGGCAGGAGCAGGGACCGAGCAACGGGAGCTCACCCCGTCGCGGGGATTCGAACCGCCGGCCTTCTGATCTGCAAGTTCTAGGCTCTGTGGTTTAACCCACAGCGCCACCCACGTTATGACCTTAAATGAGAATGCTTCTAGCAGAAATGAGTGTAGGTTAATATCTATTTGACTGCTGGATAAAGTTTACAAATTTGGCAAAGGATAGGTTCCCAAAGGCATGTTTATGAGAATAATTGCGATGAAGCTCTCCTTGGTTGACCATTTGGTCTTAGTGCCTTAAATGAGCCATGCCCATATTATTTCCACAAACTATTTCTTAGAATCAGAAATCCAACTGTTAAATCGGAATGCGCATGCACACACAGACTTTATCATCTAGCTCAGCAATGACTGACTGGCAGAAGCTCTCTTGATTCTTGAGAGGAGATCTTGCTCATATTTAAGTGTTTGCCCCCAAAACGGGAATGCCAAGGACTGAACCTGGGAGCTCCTATCCAAAAACCAATTCTGAAATGAATGGATAAACTGGTAGTTTCAAAACGTAAAGACAGGTTTACACTTAAATTCCATTCATTGAGGGCTGGTGCACATACAACAGTCTCCATATTGCAGTGTTTCACCATATTCTTTTGCCATACTAGTTTTAGCCAGTAATTAAGCAGATAGAAGTTTCCTTTCTCCTGCATAAAAAAGATAAAAGCTGCAGGTGGTGACATGCTTGGGATTTTAGGAGAAATTAGGAACGTTACTGAAAACATACAACTTGCCTGCAAGTTGTAAATCACCAAACTCAGTTAGGGAAGCTGTTTAAAATCCAACTTAGCACCTCCATTCAAAACTCAACTTTCTTCCTGAGGTCCAAAATGTAGCTGAACCTTTTACCACAAGGGTGCCCATGTGCACAATGGTACCCTTGACGTCTTCCCATGGTGCCCGCAAAGGATCTGAACGCCCCCGTCCCCCCAAGAAAAGCACATAGAAATTAAGGAAGAAGCTGGAAGAGCAATGCTTTGCCTACTTCCTCGTTCAGCTCTACCTGTTCCCCAAGGCTTAGATAAATTCTAGTAGATTTTACTTTCACCCCAATCCCTAGGGGGAAATAATGTGAGTATGCACATACTTTCTCTCTATTGTTCGGTATGGGGCTGATCTGAGGGGATAAGTGACCAGAGGGTGTGGTGCCTAAAACCCAAATGTGCTGATGGGCCTTAAAAAATGGTGAGCACTGTTTTACTGTTTCACCTGCATATTTGCAATAAGACCTGCACCAGCTGTTGGTACTTCCAGGAGGCTGCAGAAAAGACTTGCCATCATTGCCCACCCTGCCATTTGAATTTTGCTGCAAATGGAGGAGAAATGTGAGAGCCTATGTCATCTAGCCTGTATGCCAGCTGTATGGCATCTACCCCTCCCCACTGAACTGCATTTATGAAACTTTATTGTTGTTTAACTTTCATTTTTGCCTTGTATTTATGCAATTTAAGCCTAGATTTTTGTTGTTGTTGTTGTAATACTGGATTTATTCTGTGTTTGCTAAATGGCTGGTTTTTGTTATTTTGAATTTACTAACATGCTCTGTGTTTGGTATATACAGTATGTATTTCCAGTGTTCTGATGTATTGAATGTTTGCTGTAGCACAGCTTGTTGTGGGAAAGCGACATACAGTATAAGTAAAATCAATCAATATTTGGGCAAGGTCCAAAATACTAGACCTACCTCCAATAAATGCTAGAGGGAGCAAACGCGAAGGCTTATTTTAACAACGCTGCCACTTTAAAAGCAGCCATTGTTTTCGGCAATAGCCTCTTCCTGCCCCCACCCCTGGTTGCTGGCATGCTGTAAATGTCACAGCGCCAAGTGATATCTACTCTTTTGGGAAACACATTTGTCACACAGCACTCCCTTGCTGCAGCATTTGCTTTCTTGCTCACCAATTGAGAATGGAAGGAACCACAGAGCCTGGTGTTTTGTTTTGCTCCTAACCCTTCATGTAATCTGGACCAAACCCACTGGAAATGCCCCTGTTTTCTGCAAAGGGATTTGAAAGGCTGAGCCCTGCCAGCTGCTTCCTGTCGCTCCTTAGCTACTGGGGGTGGGGGGGATAAGGAAGCAAAACAGCACAAAGTACAGTGGTACCTCGGGTTACGGACGCTTCAGGTTACAGACGCTTCAGGTTACAGACTCCGCTAACCCAGAAATAGTACTTCGGGTTAAGAACTTTGCTTCAAGATGAGAACAGAAATCGTGCTCCGGCAGTGCGGCAGCAGCAGGAGGCCCCATTAGCTAAAGTGGTACCTCAGGTTAAGAACTGCTTCAGGTTAAGAACAGACCTCCAGAACGAATTAAGTTCTTAACCCAAGGTACCACTGTACTGAAGCTGAGGTCACACAGAAAGAAAAAAGCAAGAGCGGACCCATGAAACACAGAGATAGATTTCAGGTTGTTGGAATGAGAGATGTTCCAACTTTGTCTGTCATGGCTTCCCCCAAAGACTCCTAGGAACTGTAGATGGTTAAGGCTGTTGAGCGGTTCCTTCTGCTTGGGAGAAGGCTTTAAATGTGTGGTTTGGATGTGACTAACGCCACCCAGTGATCTTTGAGGCTGATTGGGGATTTGAACCCTCATCTCCCAGCTTCTTGTCCAACACTCTCTGTCAGGTATACTGGGCTTCTCAGAACTTTAGCTTTCAAACACCCCACCTCGAACACGTAATTGCTGAGCTTCCAATTGTTGAGCTCATGAAAAGTTTGAAAGCATGTAAGCAATGATTCTTGAAGTTTCACATGCACGGGCATCGCTCAATCTCTCCTCACTCGATTAGTCAACAGAGTGACTCATAGTTAAGCACATAAACTGCCTTCCCTGAAAAGTCCTGGGAGGTGAAGAAAACTATCTGTAGTGTGGTGTTTGCACCACAATGCCTCTTCCCAACATGAGAATGATTACCTGGCATTGCAGTCAATCAATTAATGACCACGCTTGCATCCACAGAGCGCTCACTTCCAACAGATTTGCACAACGGACAGAAACAAGTAACTGGGCATTGCTGCAGAGATTTCCAGATACGATGCAGAGCTCAACTAGAGGGAACAGGGACTCAAATATGCCAAACGATGCAAGAGAAGGTATTCGACGCTGCCTGAAAAACTGATCAAAAGGTTCAGGGTGCATAAATCTGAAACTCTGCAGCTGCACAAGAGAGAGAGGAATGTTCTATGCAAACATGAGATGTTCAAACTGCCTGAAGCTAGAAGCCAGGGAGTGCCCTGGATCGCCCTTCTGGTGCCATCCTGGCGAAGGAAAAGCATTTCTACTTCATTCAAGAGCATGGAGGTGGAATCTATTTGGAGGGGCGGCCTCACTCTGAGATACATCTAAATGTGCTCCTAGTTCAAGGAATTCAAGGGAAAGCTGCACTTAGCAAACATGGCTTAACTTCATAAGGTGCGGAAAGCTGCTTATTTATTTTTAAAGACTGGTTTATAATTAGCCCCCAAATTTCAGCTATCCCTGGAAAAAAAGGTCTAAGGCTTTTTATAGGCCAAGAAAGCTGAGGCAAGTATGAAAAAAAGGAGAGAGATTCTTTTTATACTTGGATTCAAGAGAGCCATTCACTATCCATGTATTCAGACACGTAGAATAATTGCTCCTTGCTTTCTTTGGCGAAAGTAAGCATTCTATACACGGTTATAATCAAAATCAGTACATCGGGTAAAACCAACTTCAGTTTGTGAATGTACAGATTTTGACCCAAAATCTG